CACACACATAAAATCTCTCTACTTATAATTAAATCTTTACTATATTTATATATTTTATAAAATTGACTTTACTTCTTAAATTTTAAAATTGTATATTATACTTAATATATTTAAAATATTCTAAATTATCTGTTTTATACATATATGAATCAGTTATGCTAATAAAATTGAAATTACTTACTGAACTTGAAATGCTTGTCGTAACTCCTTTCCTCCGAACGGATCCCGATCGGAAAAAAATTCTGGTGCATGTGTTCTAATTGTATAATAGTTTTCAATTATATTTTTTGTCGGTTCCATTTGATAATAGTTGCTATGAAGAAATAGGGCCAGAAAGCTATCCTCAATTTTTGGTAAGTGTGGTTGCTTCTCGCACCATTCTCTTAATAATTGTATATCGGATAACTTCAATTGAGGATTCTTCTTCATTTCTTCTTCCAATGTGATTCTTTTCATCATTGACATTAAGATCTAGCTTGAATTCCAGCACAAGATATATTTGATTTTAGAGAAAAGTTAATTATAAGTTAGGAATCAGTCAGTTTTTACTATCTTCCTAGACAGCTCAATTGGGGAAACATTTTTTTACTTAGATATAATGCGTTATCGATTAAGAAATAAGAATTTTTTAAATAGTTTCTAATATTAAAAAGTTAGTTTTAATAGTAAATTTTTACATCAAGTAGGAACTGATTAAATCAAGCAGAATTAGTAATATCTGGAAATTGCCATAAATTTGAGATGTTCTAATTGTGTTATTTCTTGACCAACAATTGTATAAAAATATGTGTAAAAATATATCGACAAATAAACGTATCTTTTTTTTTCTTACTTATTTTTAGAGATAGTTTAGTTCTGCAGGTTACTGATTAGAATTGATTTTTAATATTTATTTTTATTTTTAATTTTTCTAATATTACATTATTGTTATTGTATAACATAATGTATAATATTGTATATGAATATTAGAAATTTACGAGTATAGAGAGAGAGAGAGAGAGAGAGAGAGAGAGAGAGAGAGAGAGAGAGAGAGAGAGAGAGAGAGAGAGAGAGAGAGAGAGAGAGAGAGAGA